TATATATATATATATATATATATATATATATATATATATATATATATAAAAAGCGCGAGAGTAGATTTTCACGACGAAAGAAATTATTTCATTTAGGAAGATCGCGACTCTAAGTGGTTAATTAAGGGGAACGACTGTGGAGCGACTTAAATCGATTTCGTTACGAGTCGTTCGTTCAAAGATACGAATGTTGAAAACACAGTCCACACAGTTTCTTCGATTCCCCGATTAATTGATTTAGCGGAAGGTCGCCCGAAGCGTTTCGCGAACTGTTTCGCGTCAATTACGTTCGCGTGGCTTTGAACTTTTTGATTCATTGGAAAACTTCTTTACGCGAAAAATTTATATCGGAGAATTATATATAGACGTACATAGACGTCTATATTTTTTTGTCTCTCACCTGAGCGAGTCGTAGCACTTTTGCGGTCAATATTTCGAGCAATGGTGGATCATTAACGGGTGTAACGTTGACATGAAGCGGAAACCTAAGTCGTCCTTGAAGGTAGCCTGGCAACGCGTAACCACCTCCTGCCACTAATGTCACTTCCAGAATCATACTGTCCTCCGTGGTTTCACTGCCGTCGTGCATATATTGTATCTGCCAAGAAATTTGATCGTGATAACGAGACGATGCGGCACGTGTTAAATAATGTTTCTAGAACGTAATATAAATATGTATGTAGCAGAGTATGCCTCTGCTCTGTACGAGTACGCTATAAAGAGTATGCTTATAATACACAACAACGCTGCTTAACGGAGTCGAGAAATTCATCGAGCACGGGTGACATTAGGGAAAATTAAAAAGGAAATGAGACAAAAAAAAAAAAAAATGGGCCATGAACTGGTCGTTAACGAGACGTTTATTTCATTTTATTTCATGATTTATTCACGACAGAGACGCGGCCATAAGATGAACTTTTCAATCTCTCTCTCTCCCCCGGCCAACGGTCTTCTTAACGAACCAATAAACTCTCTTAATATCTCGAGACTCGTGTCTTCCGCGTGGCTCGCCGTTTTTAAAATTAAACTTCCTTAAAGATTCCCTTTGCATTTTTCCATCGGTGAATCATTACCGGTGTTAAATCTGCCGTCTGTTCCCAGTTAGAATTAATTAAAACGGCAGAGGGGTTATAAATCGACGAGTAGCATAGCGAATCTCGAGGCGCGAATTCCTCCAATTTTCTCGATACAACCGATCCGATAGGAATAATAAAATTTCGAACTACGTGGAAAACGTTTAACAACGGGTGAGAGTGATCTCGGTCCCGACGCTCACCCTTACGAAAAAGCGTTAATAAGCGGTGGTGGTGTTTATAAATAGTACAGTACCCGGTGGATAAATCGGGTGCAAGTAGAAGAGGAACAGACAACCGAGAGAGTGTCGTGACGACACGAGCACCGTACGTGGCTATGGCTGTGGGACCCCCACGGTTCTAAAGTTAGTCCTTGTGCCGTGAACTATCTATAGCTCGTGGTCCTATGACAAACTCGAATAACGTGTGATTTTCTTCGTTCGTTTTTCTTTTATTTTTTTCTCCTCGAATTTATTGGATATCGGATATGAATTGATCGATCGATCGTATGATTTTTATTTAATGGAAAATTTGAAAAAAAAAAAATATTGCACGATAATAGTAGGAAATAAATATTCACCTTATCTCGATCGATGTCTCGAAGAGTGAAAGAATGTTCGGTTCTGGTAGTTAAGAGATCCAGAGTCAGGGTACCATAAGTGGGCGGTGTTATCAAGGTGAAGATAACACCGTCCTCTTCCACCCCGTATTTAGCAATGTCTAGTACCATGGCAATGTTATCGCTCGTCACCAGCACATGTCCTCCTTCGCATACCAGGAGGGGACTCGACGAGAGTATTTCCAAGTTCACGGGTAAATTTGCTTTCGAGTAAGTCTGAAATTGGAAATTGAAACCTCGATGAAAATCATCTTTGCTTCTTTTTACGTTACAAAATTCCAGCGAAATATTCTTCTGGGAAGAATGTGTCAATGAAAAGGATATATTTTCAACAAAAGGAAGAAGAACGCAAACGAGGAAGCGTTGTTTCGTTAAGAATGTAAAAATCTCCTCCAACGAAACAAATACACGGAACGATTGCTCGCAACAAGTGATCGATTGTTTTTATTTTACCTTGTAATCCTCGGCATGATTCGGATTGATACACGATAGTTGGTCACAGTCGCACTTAAACGAGCTGACACCCAGCTGAGAGCAAACTCCCCCGGAAACACAGGGATCAGCCTCGATACAGGGAAATCCCCAAACGCAGCCAACCACGATGCCCTGGCTGATTTTAACATCCGGTAGACCGAGCTCCTTGTTATCCAACATCATATTTCTCAGGCAACCCTTGTAGCTCACGTCACCGGATTTAAGACCTTTCCCGAACGCCTTGGCGCGTTTGTTGAGCTCGGTACCGCCGATGTACAGGGTGTCGGCCAGATCTAGGTAACGATTCCCGCCGGAGGGCAAGCTGATGGTTTTTTCTTGACGATCGACCGTGATCCCGATTCCGCTCGGATTGAAATCGACGGCGACCCGGTGCCACTTGCCGTCAGCCACCGGTGTGCCGTGTATCAACTCGGTCGGTCCGTTCCCTTTGTTCATCAGAAGTCGAATTTTACCCTCGAACAACTCGATCCCGAGGTAATCGGCGTACGAGGATTGGCCGGTGTTGTAGAGCAGCAGGCCGCTCTCCTCGCCGGTCTTCAACTCGAATTCCCATCTACCGAACAAAGAGGATTGGAGGATGGTGAGAAGGGGGTTCGATCGAATGGGGCTAAAATTGAAAGGAAGTCGTTCGTCGAACTTTAGCCGCTTGGCCGCGACTACGAACTCCGTCACGTCTGCGAACACGTGTACGAACGAGTGAACGCGTGCCGGATACAAGCCAAGCCCAAGATATTAGAGAATAATGTTAAAACTTGCCCGGTTAACAACATTTCCCGGTTAGTAGTAAGCCGAGTTAGAATTTCGCAGTTGACTTGTTCGGATCGCGACTAACGCTCTCCTTGAATGGGCTCGCTTAGAGGGGGAGGGGGAGGGTCGCGCAAAACTTGCACTTTCTTAACAGTTTCAAGGGAATTATTATCCGATCGTTTGCATCTTTTACAGGGAAGATTGGTCGATTTAGCGAGCGAAACTTGACTCGAAATTGATTTATACGTATCTAACAAACGCTCGAAAATCCCTCCGCTCGAACATTGATAAAACGATATTGCATCCCGCGATGAAAGTAGCGCGTTCGAGTGCGCTATTGACGCGCGATAATCGGATGAAAACGGCATTAAATCGGCGCGATATTATTTGGTGGAGAGGAAGCTAAATGAATCGTGCGTTAACGAGTGACTTAGGGAATATCCCGGATAT